CACTGCTGCCCCAGCCCAGGCTTGGCTGCCACCTTGCTGGCCTTTTCTGCGTCTTTGAGGCCCTCCACACACTGCCTCTGCCTGTCACGTGACGATTTACTCATCTTCTGCACTCCCCCCTGCTCGACATGCTTGGCTTGCCAAGGCCCCAGGGTCAGAACGACTGCAGAAGGCCAACACCTGGTGATATGCAAGGTGTGAGTCAGAGCCAAGGTGCTAAGCTGAAGGTCAGGAAGCAAAATCCAAGAACACGAGTTTTGAGTTGAGGTCCGGAACTTACCCAGAGTTCTTACCTAAGCCAGACACCAAAAGCTGCAGGCTGGACCGCAGACTGAGTTGGGGCTCACTGATGAATTTGGGGTGGCATGGTGGATCCTGCTTGTGTGTAGCTCTTTTTTCAGCCCTGCCTTCTCTCAAGCTTGATAAAGCAGAGGAAATTTTCTCTGCCTTGGTCTTAAAGGTGCCACTGCAAGGTTCCTGCTCTTCCCACCAGCACACCCAGCCCTCTGGGCCTGGGCCTAGCCCTGGCCACACTGCACCTGCCTCTGCATGTCAGTGCCCCTGGCACACTGGCCCTCCCTGGCTGATGATCCTGGGTCTTCCCAAAGCAGACTCTTGGATCACCAGCCTCACCAGCCTCCAGGAAGTAGCCAAAGATAACCGAAAGTGGAAGAACTCGAATGACAGTCATTCTCGTCTCCTCCCACTGACGTGCTGACCTCATAGACTATGGCCCCTTCTGATTCTTGGCTGTGGCCAGAAGTCTACAAAACAGTCGCCAAGTCTAGTCTGTGTGTGTGCAAAGGGCAAGTGAAGGGGGTTTCTTTAAGCAAGCATTCTTCTTTAGAGCCCTTCTGGGATCACAGAAAAATCGAATAGAAAGGAGGGAGGGAGGGAGCCCCTTTGTACACCATCTAGTCCCTTCCTCTATTATTTACATCTTGGCGTTCCCATGAGAAGCCCCGGTAGCATAGTGGGCTACTCACTGGACTGCTAACCTCAAGGGCAGTGGTTCGAACCCACCATCTGCTCCACGGGAGAAAGGTGAGGCCGGCCATTCTAGTAAAGACTTAAATTCTCAGAAAATCCAAAGGGACAGTTCTACCCTGTCCTACAGGGTTGTCAGGAGTTGGAATTGCCTTGACAGCAGTGAGTTCCCGTGGTACACTTGGTGCAGTTGACAAGCCAATCTGATCTAATATTATTCAATCGTGTCCACAGTTTACAGGAGGGCTCATTTGGTGGTGCACAGGTCTGTGGGTTTGGAAACATGCATGGGGTCACCTATCCACCCCTGCCGTTTCATTGCCCTCAGACTCTCCTGTGCTCCCCATTGAGCCTCCTTCCCTCCCAGGAAACCTAGATCACCTGCTGCTCTTCTCCCTGTCCTTGTAATTTTGTCTTTTTGACATTGTCAACTATTTAGAGCAGCGGTTCTCAACCTGTGGGTCGCGACCCTGTTGGGGGGTCACCGGATTCATAAGAGTGGCAAAATGATAGTTAAGAAGAAGCAATGAAAATAATTTATGGTTGGGGGGTCACCACCACATGAGGAACTGTATGAAAGGGCTGCAGCATTAGGAAGGTCGAGAACCACTGATATAGAGCAACACAGGCGTTTCCAACTGGCTTCTTTCACTTAGCAATGGGCACTCCAGCTTCCTCCTTGGCTTTTGATGGCTTGTTGGTGCGGTTCTTTTTATTGCTGATCAGTGTTGTAGGGGCGCAACGCCGTTGGCTCATCCATTCACCTATTGAAAGACATCTTGGTTGCTTCCAAGTTTGGGCAATTGGGAAGATAGCTGCTGGGAGACATCACAGCACCAGTGTTATGTGGACCTACATTGGTCAGCACGTGAGGAAATGACTAGGAATCCAATTGTGGGGTCATATGTCCCACCTCTGTTGGGCATTGGAAGACAATGCTACTGTGTTATCCAAAATGGTGGTGCCGCAATCCCCGCCAATAATGGTCGGGGTTCTTGTTGCTGCACATCCTCAGTGGGGTCTTCATTGCCAACGCTTTGGACTTGAGTCATCGTGACCGGCGGCTCCCTGTTGTTCTAATGTGGCATACTCAAAATGACGCTTGATGTTGAGCACTTTTTCCTCTGCTGATTTGCCATCTGGAGATCTTTTTGTTTCCGTGTCTGTTCAGAGTTTCTGTAGTTCAGTAGTTTGCTTCCTGGTTGTTGACTTTTAAGAGTTCTTTGTATATTTTGGACACAGGTTTTTTTTAATTGGATATGTGTTTTGCAAATATTTTCTCTCGGTCTGTGCTTTGTCTTGTCTATGTTGGTCTATGTTCATTCTCTTGTCTCTTATAGAGCAGACTAACACTTTTTGCTTTAACGAGGTCTTACTTATCCCTTTTTTCCTTGTGTGGGTTGCACGTTTGTTGTTAGATCTAAAAAGTCACCATCAGCATACTAGCCCATGTGATCCAAGGATTGTAAATAATATACTCCCAATCCAAATGAGGGATTTGGTATCAGTGCTTAAATTGCGGAAGGCAATGGATGATAAAGGAAGCCCAAAATTATGGGGAGGGTCCACACATCGATTAAGCCTCTGGTGCATCTCCTCTGACCATAGTTGAGGGATGTCAATAGCCTTATACCAGACAGAGAGCATTGTAAAGTCAATTATGGTATATATAGTTAGGTTAAAATATAATGTCTCATTTGATATCCTTTTTGATTCATTTGAAAGTTGTTTCCAGTTTTTAAAAAAAAGTGAAGGGGAAATATAGGTTAAAATTTAACACCTTATCATTTGA